TTACAAGCACTCGGACACAGTTTGAAATATATTGATTTCTTGGACTGCAACTGTTGATCTGATCTTTGTCACTGGAAGCTTATGGTGCAAAACCTTCCTTCTCTGTCTCAATTAACTATTTTTTTTTTTTTTTCTCTACATCTTGCTTTGCTTTGCTTTACTTCCTTACTTACTAGCTTTTTTTTTTTTTTTTTTTTTCTTCTCAGCAGTTATATTTCCTTTCCTTTAACAGCTGCTCTTAAGGAATTTCAGTGTTGTATAGTTATTTGTGAGCTAGACTGTTTTACTCTCTTGGTACCTGCTGTCTTTACTTGAAGCCTCTAAACCAGTAATTGGTAACAAGTTTCTCTCAGTGGGTTTTACACACAGCTGCAAGGCAGAAAATAAACAGTTCTTTCAAGTCTACACTCTTAGGGTTACAGCTGTATACTAATGACTTCCCCAGCTTGCTAATGAAAATTTTAAAGAGATATCATCCATTTCTATTAACAGATTTTTAAAAGCTGTTCCACAATTTATGCAGGACCTTGTAATGACAATTGTGAGAACAATATCCTTCTTAATTAAAGTATCTTTCCTAATTAAACTAGTCACTGGTGTATAAGTTCATAAATTCTCATCAAAAAATAATTCAACTCCTCAAAGTTTTTTATCTTAGATTTTTTTTTTTTAAATTATGATAAGAATGTCCGATATATTGTCACTCCTAATTGTTTCAATGCTTAAATAACAAAATAAATTGCAGAAAAAAAAAATTAATTAGATTTGTTCAGAATTTTCATGTTTTTTTGAGAAGAAATTTTCAAGTATAAATAAAATTTATGTGAAATGCTTTTGTTTTTACTAAAAATATATGAACATTTAATCCTTAACTACAACAAAAAAAAAAAGTAAAAAATCAATCTTCAGCTAAAATTTTCTCTTCATTCCCTCTTAAACATTTGTCAAAAAAACCTCCAATGCTTCTTGGAAAGTGGGGGAATGGAGAAATAAACACTTATTCATCTACTGTAGTCTTAATAAGCTAGGTCATGACTTAATACACAAAAGAATGTATGTTTTGCTGGAAATACGACATGCACAAACTATGTGTGTGTGTGTGCAGATAGAGGAGAAAAAAAGTTAAATAGAATTAATATACCTTTTGCAATTAAACTTGTTCTACTGAGATGCTTTTTTCACCTTCTAAAGAAACCTTTTCAAAGGTTTCAGAAATTTTTCTCTCAAGCTATTCTGGTACTGGCATCTAGTTTTCTTTTTTTTACAGAACGAAAAAGTAATATTAGCTCTTGTTTAAGCTTTTCATGTGACTGTTTCATCTCCTCACAATACTTCAAAAGCTTTTTTAACAGGCTCAAAAAACATCTGCAATGTTGTTTGCACAGGTATGCAAATCAGACTCCTAAAGGCTTGGGGTGCTGGGGAAATAATATGGTTCTCCCTACCGTAAATACAGTAGCAAGAAAAAATGATTAATTCCTATTGATTTTGAATGGTAGACATTGTGACTACAGCAGAATAAGGATAACCTCATGACTTTGGAGGGAGTAGCACAGTTGTTGTTCTTCTTGTATTTGTCTATCCCTACCACTGCAGAGAAATGTCAAAGTGCTCAAGGTCACATGGAATTGAGTTTGGGCTCTAGTTGTGTCACGCTCATTCATGTCATGTCTATAAAAGAACTCTCTGTTGCTTAATAGAGCAACAGCTCTGTGCTCCAGGGCATTTTGTAAGTACTTTGGAAAGAAGTGCAAACCTTTGCCTCTCTGTGTCAAAAACAGGAAGGGAAAACCACCTGACAGCAGCAAGGAGGGTCTGGTACCAACTTCAGGACCTGATTTGCCTGAGTGTGACTGTCCATTGCAGGCTGATGGATGGGAAGGCAATGCTGAGGTGCAAGAAACTGAGAGTTCCAGTACCTCTTCACACAGCAGATTTGTATTAGCCTAAACCTGAATTTCCTTCCTAAGCAGAGCATGCAAAGTGAGGAGAAATACTATATTAATATACAATTTTTAATTGTGTCAACAGGTATCTGACTATATTAAAGTATACCCTACCAGAACTGCCCCTTAACTTCTGTTTCTCAAAGGCAGGGAAGTGAAGTTTAAAATATAAATCAATAACAATACAGATTTAGAGAGCTCAGAATGTGTCTTTACAAATCTTCTGTTATTTAGATAACTACCAGATTCTGTACTTCTGTGTCCAGAATGCCAGAGGCAATCTGGAAATGGTAGTTTACAATTATTTTTCCTTTGAAAAGGTGTTTCCATGACTTAAGATGTTACGTGAAATCTTTACCATCATGCCTTCTTCAGGGGACAACTTCTTATTTGACTCATCATGTTGAAGAAGTAATATGCATGGACCATCTGAGGTAGTAGAAGTGAGATTTCCCAGAATGTGGGAAGAAAAGTTTGCTCTTTACAGATCTCATTCAGTAAAGTATTGTGAAGGAGCATTATTTTGTACTTTTCTATTAGTTCCAAGCTGGCAGATGCAGGTTTCTTTTATTTTAAATAAAGAACTACTCTTGTGACTACTAACTTGATGAACTGACCGGTGACAAATAATTGTGTGAGCCCCATGTTTTCTAAATGTAAATTGTAATGACAGTGTTCATGGGATTGTGCAGTCGACGTTGGTTTTGTTTTGTTTTGTTTTGTTTTTTTTTAAATTACAAACATCAGAATGGTGACAAATAGAAACCTGGACAGAACTTCTATAGGTGTCACAGTACCTTTGGTTCCTGAACAGTGCACTCTTCCTTTGTATATTAATTACAAGGTAAAAAGCATCTGACAGTTCACAAAATCAGAACACATTCAGCTTGACCACATTATATGTTGTTGCACATAAGAATTCTTAATGCTGTTTAACAAATGACTTTTTTTTCCCACTTTTCATTAGAGCCCCTTGTTGCCATCCAATCTTGATTTTAGAAATTAAAGCTAATAACCAGATTGAAAGAATCCGGAGAATGACAGCATGGGGCACAGTCTCAAAGCCACAACTAACAGCATGAGGCAAAGCGAACCTCAAGCTATTCCAGCTCTTAGAGAAAGAACGGGGAGAAAAATCATTTGCAGGAAAACTCAATTATAACAACCCACAGCTATAGTAAAGCACTTGCGAATGTTGACACTAAAGCTTTTTCTGCTTAATGTTTTAATTAAATACCTAGAAGCCAACTCTCCTCCTCAGTCAGTCAGAGCAGTACTTCTCTATGGATAAATGTTTACAGCAAAAACTCTGCTGAGGGTTTCAGCAAACAAGTCTTGGAGAACTGAGAAGGCTTTCAGCTGAGGCACTTGAGATCAAGAAAGCACCAGTGATTAGAAACTAGCAGTACAATAACAGGACGATTTAATCCACCCAAATGTCAGTTGCTGGTTTACAATTTGGCAATCCCATCTTCATCTACAGACAAAAGGGCACTGGTTAGTCATCTGTTTAATTCTCTTGCTGCAGCATGTCATTTGGATGTTGAAGGAAAATCCCTTGATTCAGTCTGCCATTTCTGACAGTCTCCCTCTAGACCACATTAATAAGCTTTTTAGAGAAGTGAATGCAGAATAATCAGCAGGCAGCCTGCACTCAAAATGGAGACAGAACAGAGAGCAGAAATGTTTTCTTCCCTTTGTAGTTATGGTGCACAGGTGACCCTTCTCTCACAGAGCAGCAAATGATTTAGACTAAGATTGCCTTTGAAAGCCACAACGTAATTAACCATTTTATGCATGTGATGTCTGCCTAGCTTCAAAACCTGATGCTTTGCAATGGAAAAGATTCAGCTGCATTTGAGTTAGATTTATGAAACATGCTAACAATAGAACAGACAGATAGAAAGGCTGCCTGGCATCCTGGAATACCTGGGGAATTTCACTCAAAAAACCAAACATGTTACTCTTTAATGTAGACTCACATCTCATTATAAAATCACAAGTGGAATGAGACACACTTCGCCTTTGTAACTGTGTTGCCAGGAAGCAGGTAAGTGTTGTGCTACAGACACTCCTGCAAAGATCTGCATGATTTTAATTTATTTTGAAAGCAATTTGTTAGATAATGGGGGTCTTGCTGTGGATATTTCCTGGTTTTCACTATTAATAATTTCTCTATTGCCATCTGTAAGTTGAAATTGTCAATAGTTTTGTTTAACCTATTGTGCACCGTCTGTTTCAAGGTGCAGCTGAAAAACAAAATATTTCAGGGTATCCTTATTTTATTTCAGGAAGGATTTGCTGGTAAGGCATTATTAAACACTGAAAATGAGAAAGTAGAAACCTTGGAGCTCTGAAAACTCTTTTTATTTCACTTGGAGATGAGGGAAGTAAGCACCATTGAAAATCAAGCTCAAGTTATGCACATACAGACAAGAAAAGTGAAAGGAGATTAAAAGAAGAAGGAAAGAATTGTAATCCTGTGTGATGTGGTAAGATGTAGGTAAGGCTCGGGGAGGATTTTGTCAAGCAGAAAATTGACAAAACCTGCTATTAATTATTGTGCTGATGCTATCAGTGGCATTACCATAATCAAAAAGTGAGGCGTGAGCATAATTCACAAGGCTCTAGGTAGCTTGGGGGTTAAATCAGTTATTCTCAAAGGAGATTTTAAGAAAAAACATAATTAACACTAAGAGAGAGCATAAGAATTCTTTTATGTAGCCCATGTAGTCAATAATATCTCAGTAATAAATTCAGACACACTGGCCTGTTTGTGTGTGAAAGAATAGAGGGGGATGTAAGGAGATCTCACTTGTCAGCTGTAGCTACCAGGGAAGAAGACTGGATTACACTTAACAAACTTTTTGCTATAGAGACGAAGTTATGGACTCTTTAAAAAACAATATTATTGGCATTTTGCAGACAAATGTTAGCATAAAGCCCATTCCAGGAAGTATCGGGAATATAGGAAAAGAATATACCAAAAAGAAAAGTGATGAATTGATTACTTTTACAAGATTCCTTTTTATTTGTTTTTTTCCTTTAGAGAGACAGAGACAATAAAACATGACAGCAAAGACTGAGATGAGAAGCACTGTTGTTTTAGAACATCTTCATTCTCAACAATAACTCCAAGAGAAAAGGTAGCAAAGAAATTTAAAACAAGACCAGATCATCAGGTTAACCATGTAACTTGACTCACTGCCTTGCAAATTTAAACTATTAAAGAAGCTGAGACAAAATCAATATTTACAGTAGTTGCATGTTAACAAATCAACATTTACCAACTGTTATAGACAAAGTTGAATAAATAATGGTGAAGGTGTTCGCAAATGTTACTTTGAAGAAAAACATATCCACTTTGAATCACAACATATATTATTCACACGCTGCAAACAGTCATGCAAGCAAATCTGTGTTTATGGTGGAATTGTAATCTCTCAGGCTAATAACTATCTGCATTACTATTTAGTCTGGAGAATGTCATATGGCAGTCCTGGTTATTCTGAGATTCAAAGAGAAGTCACCAGTAATAATCTGTGACTGGTGATATCAGATAAGCAACAGATTGTGTAGGGTTTTTAAGGTAAGTGTCACAATTAGAAAATATAAATATTTTTTTCTTTGTTAGTGCTCAAGTTTTTGTTGTCAGAATGAAAACCAAACTATATACAGCCTGGATTCTTGGTCCCTTTATCACTTTAAGAAAGTCCATGAAAATCCTTCTCCAAGGAGGGGCCCAGGAACAGTGGATGTTGGAAGCAATGGTTATTGCCCTCACTGGTAAGCAGAAAGTACTTGTTAATACCCTATTACAAGACTTTTGTGGCTCTGAGTAATCTTGCCAGATTGAACTGACAATTAAGTTCTCCATTTGCAAAGAAATCTCATATAAAAATTGTAATAATTCTAGTGAAACACAGTATTGGAAGACTAGAAGATGAAACCTTTTGTGATTTTGTGTGGAACTGTCTGTAGATTTTCAAGACCTACAACAGGCTTCAATGGGTGAATAAATTAATGCAAAATTGTTATAAATCCTATAATATTATGATACATGCAACAGCATTATTTGGTAAATTAAATGTTGAAAATTAAGAATCAATATTAAAAGGAGACCATTGAATAATATAGGAGAAGTCTATGTAACAACGCTAAACAAGTGATCTTGAATAATGAAGAAAGTACAGTTATTTGCTTCTAATCTGCTGAAAGGAGTTGTAGGAGTGATTAGTTTTGTATCAAATTACACTTGTCAGCAGCTGTGGCCTACCTTTCAAACTAAAAATGTTTTATGCTTCTTGGAATTTAGATATGACCTCCTAAATGTTTATAAATAATTTTTGTTATCTGTTTTAAAATTAACATTAGTGGCATTAAGTGGCTCTGATCAGTTAATACACAAACTCTTTTACCCTTCAGTAAGAACAAAACTCTCATCCCTCTGTGCACAAAAGCACCATCTCTAGGCCCATGTCTAAGACTAAAATGAACTATTTGGATTTTGTTGGTTTGGACCCAGAATGGCCAACAGCACAAGTGGCTGTGTTGTGTTCTGTGATGAGACATCACTGTATACAGAAGCATACACCAAAGAGATCATGCAACATAAATAATCATATTGGTGCCAGAAGTCAAATGAGATATATTTGATTTGTATAAGGTGAAAGCTAGCAAAGCTGTTAAAAAAAAAGACTATTAGATAAGAAAGCCTTTCAGAGAGTCTTAGGCAGGTAAAGACACATAAACCAACATGTCCTGTATTTGTTGCAGGTGAAATGATGCTTTTAGAGCATCAGTAGGGGACAGTTACAGTAGTGTAGGATAGTCATTGAAGGAGAAGTATTTAGGAATTAGAGACCAAAACAGGCCAAAACCACACCATTCTTCATAGGCTAGTACTGAAGTATTTTGAGATGAACATTACGCTTCAAGCTCAAGGTTCCTTGGGCTGTTACTAAAATTATAAGAGGTCACTGGAGCTGGCCCCTCTCCATAATTATGATGTGATTGTATTTTCACATCTCTTTAGTCAGCTGTTACAGCAGTTTAGAATGATAAAAACCACTGAAAGAGACAACTTCAAAATCAAATCTGCTTTAGAGGCATATACCTCTAGCTACATTATTTTTTTCCCATTTATCAGTAATGTAGAAGTACCAAAAGCCTGGAATATTGTATGACTCAAGAGTGATTTTTGAATTCAGGAAACTAAACCAGCAAAACGTAAAAATTTAGTCTCTTTGCTTCATTTCTGCTTTCTTTGCTGCATCTAACTTTAAATAAGAAACCATAAATACTGTTCCTGAAATAAAATCCTCACACAAAAAAAGCCTCTAAGTCTTTGTTAAGTCTAATATCTGCATGCAGTCATGTGACTATTCAAAATTACTCACTGAAGCAGCTGTGAATGCATACGAAATGAAAAACCTCTGTCTTGTGTATGATGAATATAAAAGGTGCCTCTCTATTTGCTAACTACTTAGAGCCTTAATTCTCTACTTTTTCTCATTATTGTAATTAAAAATGTTTGAATTACCACTGGCAGAGAGTGTTTGCTAAAACATGAAGTTATTGGCATCTCTTGCATAAGATAAAGCTCAGGTGGAGAAGGGAATCTTTTGAACAGGATGATTACCTGCTGTTCTGATAGTGACAATCACTGTCTTCTGTATGGCAGTGACTCCATTTGGATTCACTGAGACTCCCTGAAGCATTTTTTGCTGAATTATTACACTCAGCTGGCCTATGGTCCTATGTGATCACTCCAGCCCATACACAACTTGTTGCTATTGATTATTCTAAACTATGTACAAAACTATCTTAGCTACGTGCAAAGGATTGTCCTATGTGATCAATTCTTCATCTGCAGGAGTAGTTTCTAACTGACTAATTACAAGTGCATTATCCATGCACAGGTTAGTCAATTCTATTGCTGGAACTGTCTGAAGGAGCTTCTGGAATGACCAAGCTCTCCACCCAGGACATTAGACATTATATTTAAACATGAAAATAGTGCACAGCAGTTGAACTATACACTGCAGAAGATGCATGTGGGAAGCTCTGGGTCTGTCTGAAATTCTCACCTGAAGTATTGTGAAAATTGGTCAAATGCTTTGTTGTGAAGTTGACTAGAAATTCAGTCAAACACTTTGACTCAGGTTAGGTTAGCCTGTTGTCTCAAATTAGTCCACTGTTTCATCTATGCAGAAGGTAGAGGTGGAACTCCCAGATCACAAGGGAATTAATGAATAAGTGTGTTGGTTATGTCTGCAAGCACAGCCTTGTTACCAGGCTATGTGAAATTGTACCTATAATATCCTACACAATTATAACATTAATTCAGACTCTCTTGCCACAGTAGCTCCCTACCAGCTCATTGTTGAATCCACAGTGGTCATTGCCAGTTAAAGGATGCTCCATACTATGAGCATAAGAGATGAGTGAAGACCCTAATGTCTGAATTTATAGACACTCCAATGTCTCAACATGTTCTTTTCTTTTGGCATAGTGATATGATTTCCAGTGTGAATTATAGTTCAGGAACCTTGACACTACCACCACTCCTGGACTGGTGCTGCTGCCCACCTTTTGAATAATAACTTATTCGTTGGAGGATTCACCCAGAAATAGAGAAATAGGTGTCCTGGCTTCAGTGTTAAAGTCTAAGAGTTTGGTCTACCTCTTAGAAATCAAAATTCTAACCCTGAATCCAGATTATGAACAGACATAAATCTGGAATGATCACGTTTTTAGTTTTGTCTTGATCAGTAATAAAAGAGTAATGGGTGAGGAAAACCCAGATCCTCGTCTGGTGTTTCAGATGTTTTGGTGTAGGACTTGTACTATACTCTAGGAATAGAGCACCTGCAAAAATGTTTCTTTGTTTATCTTCCTACATGACAACCTCTAAACTCTCTGTACAAGAAAAGGAGTAAAGCTGGTATACACAGTTGAATCCTAATACTCTATTTTAGATAAAGTAAAACAAAACCAAAAGTTTTGAAATTTATTTTTTTTCTGATAGTGCTTAAATCAATCTGTTGTTTATTTTCAATGAACTCTCTTCTGTGTAATAGTTTGCAGATTTCATCAAATAGACAAACACAGCTGACATAATGTCAGCCACTGGAATTTCATTAGTAAAATAAGACATTTGCTATCCTGAGTGATTTACTATCCTATTACATCCATTTTAGATGCAATTCCTTTGAATTGCATGTCTACTTGTCCTAGACTGACCTACCACTCAAGTGAGAAACTACTCACCTGAGCAAAACAAATTGGATTTGGTCTGTGGTTCCTGAAGCATTACAGGGAGGGGAGTTCTCTTGTGTTTGTTTTAGGGTTTTTTGTTGTTGTTTTGTGTGGGGGTTTTTTGTTTTTTTTTTTTTTTTTGTTTGTTTTTTTTTTTTTTTTTAATTTAGTCATGAGACTTAATGTTTATGAGTTTTATTTTGAGCTCTTCTATCTGCAACTAAATCAAATCAATGTTACTTGCTCAGATTAGCTGTTGCTTAAGACACATTACAGACTGGTGCCATACAGAGGATGTCTCCCTTCTTACTGATGCTATTAACTTAATTTTGTATTCATCAATGCCAGGACGGTTTGTTCTGGTGATATATAATAAAGGGATTTAGTCAGTTTTGTAATTGTATTGCTGTTTTGCCTTTTTTTTTTTTTGCCTAAGTATTTCAGATATAACTAACACAAAACATATTTATTAATTAGTATTATTTGATTTTATTGGAAACATTTCCAACTATAGAAAAATAAGTAATGAAATTACCTTACTTCAAATGCAGACCAATAAAAAATAAACTAATCTTATTACAAATTATATATATAGTCTTAGGAAGAGCAAAGATTACTCTTTTGGGAAGGCCATGTTATATATTTTGAGATGTCCACTGCAATTTATCAGGAAGTAATTATTTGTTTGGTATAAAAGGAATGCTTAAAAAATACAGTGTGGTAAAGAACCTTTTAGTAATTTTCTCTTGCCCTTAGACATCTCTGATTGACTAACTACTTTAACCCCACCTCATAAATGCATGAAGGATGCTGAGGAAATAACAATGATTTTCCCCAAATCCAAATTGAGAGGAAGATGACTGTGATTAATGTTACCTACTCCCCCTTTCCCATCACATATCTGCAACCTGTATTTTCAAGTGATTTACATATTAAAGTGGCTTCCTGTTGCTTACATTTTAATTGGAGTCCTATAGTAGTGAGAAGAAAGCACCAAGGTACTCAGTTTTCTATGGGAAATACACAACTCTGCAAAAAGCAGTCTGTCCTGTCTGTGAACAGACAAACCCTGACATAGAGGCACACTGGTGCTTATTGGAATTCAAAACTTAACATGGTTCTTATGCTAGCAAGGTGAAGGCAAAACAAAAGTTTTATCTTCAGAAGTTCACACAGCTGTCCTCAAATTACAATTCAATTCCAAAGCCACACATAAAGAACTAGGTTCAAAGGTATATGAATAAATTATATACTTTCCACGCATAGATTTGTCAAATAAATTAGTAATTCAATAAATATATTTGAAAAACATATATACAATTACAGTAAGAATACTTTCTTTTTGCTTTCTGGACAGCTCAATATTAAAAAGTGTCCACATTACCTTCTAGCAGCACACACTTTTGATAAGTAGAATAAAAGATAAGGTAACTTTTGTAGAAAGAAGTGAACACTTCCATTTGAACAAATGTGGTACTTGTAAACACAGACAAAACTTTCAGGCACAGTAGCCACCCTTCAGGTGTGAAAATATAGATTCAATATAGTAATAAAATAATAGATAAGTCTTTTTTACCTGAAGATTGATAAACAACAGTCTACACTTTTCAAGAGTAAACCCATGCAGGATAAGAAACTGTTCTCTCATAGCTTAAAGAAATGGTTGCAATAGATGGCAATATTAGAAGATAGTGCCCACTATGTAATGTGACAAGTTATGACCTTGATTCAGCAAAAATATATGCATATGAGCACCTCTGAGCTGCTTGATCTTTGAGCAAGGTGAACTGCTAACCCATGGACTGTTCTGAAGTAGAGGTATTTAAGTGTTTACGTGTTTACAAGATTCAAAAGTAATATTCAGAGACAACATGGGATCCGGAAAGAAAGGGAAGAAGCAAAGGCTGATACTTGCTGATGTGGTGCTACAGCTTGGGAAATGCTTAAGATGACTATTAATATTACACATTAATGTTATTAATTTTTTTTCTCAGAAGAGATTTTTTATAGTGCCAGCTGCAGAAATGAAATACCTCAAGTGGAATCCAAGCATCTTTGATGATGTGCATCTTCAATATCAGTACTAAAACAAGATAAAGAAGGTGTAACTCTATCAGGTTGGAAATTCTGCTTATCATTGTAACTAAAGGCTATGTTCTTACAGTGTATATTAAATGGTCATAAAAAGCTGTTGATGAGACTCGTGTTTTCTTTCCTTACTTGAAAGTAGTTATGAAAGCAATATGCACACAGATTTTTAATATAAAACACCTTTTCCACTTTATAGCTAACACAATATGAAATGAATAGCCACTTGCTTGATGACTGAAGACAGGAATGAATAACAACAGATCCTGCCTTTATTTAGCTTATCTATAGTATAACATGAGGCAGCCAGAGAGACGTTTAAGTAGATTACTATTAATACCACTGTACGTATGCTTAATTTCCTTAAATACAGTGTACTAGATGAAGCGTTATTCTGTGACTCTTCCAGTATGTATAATAGCACAATAATAAATGTGCATGCAGGTAGAAATAACTAAGTAGTCTAATTCAAGCAGATGCACAGAACTGCACAAGGGATTTTTCATTATCTGAAATTAAAAGATACAGACATTCTAACATGGCAAATGTTAGTATCAGAAGGTGTTATAAATAGAACAGAGCTTTTTAATTGCTCAGCTCTTGGCCAAAGTCCTAAATTGATCTTGACTGATCTATTCTGTTCTTCTTTAGGCATATTTACGAGAATACAGACAATTAAGTGATCAAACGAGATAAAAACTGATCAAGAGATATTTTCTAGTCAGGTATTAAATTTCTAGGATGACCTTTACTTTCAAAACATTGAAGTTTTATGATATTAGAAAGATGTCATGCCACCCAAAGAGAATGCACCATTTTCAAACAAGAGAGGAGTCAAGATTAGTTTGTCAATCAAACATTCTTTATTTAGGGAAGAGATCTATGCATTTTCTTTGAAAGTACATAAAAATATTAAATAAATACAGTATAGGCTACATCTTATGCTAGCAAACTATCAAAACATATTCCTCCAAACATTTGGTCAGTGCTGTTAATGGTTATTAGATACAGTGTCTGATCTGGATCAAAATTTGTTTTTCCTAGGTATGATTTCTGTATTCATGATTTCTGGGTTAATCTGCATCTCACCTGGAATTACTGTCAGTGGTAACAAGAGTGTTTTAGGTACTGATGGAAAGTTTCCCAGTCACACAGAAGAGAGAAGAGAACCTAGTCTTCTTTCATGAGTGCCCTAATCCCTCAGGGTACCAGCAGTATATCATTGTAGTGGTGCATCTGTTTAGTTCTTTTGTATTGTTTCTGAAAAGGAAAATTTTTTGTACTGAAATAAATTTTTATTGAATCAAATGTTCTGGGTGAAGAAGATGGCCATTTCAGAAAAGCATACCAATAAAATTTAAACTTAATTAAATCTAAGGTGAAGTTTCTGATTTTTAATTTCTATTTTACTCAGATCATTCGTTGTAGATATTGTAGAAGGAAAAAATATAACACACCACTCCTTTGAACTTCAGTTGCTGTAGAACACCGAGTTGCAAACACACCAAGCTATCATGTTTTGTTTTCTCACTTACTTAAAGGATACAGGTTTTGATCTGTGGCACCATGTTGTGATTTAAATGTCTCCTAAACAGAGGGTGGAAGGGTAACATTAGAGGAAAGGTTAAATTGTACTGTAACTTTAGAGTAGCTGGGAATACTAGGGAAAAGAGTTGCAGGGAAAGACTGTGGTAGGAAAAGAGGTTTCTTGATCAAATGCATGTGGATGGATTAACTAACATAATAACTGATGTAACTTTTCCTTTTTATTTTTTTTTCTTAATCTGGAGATTGAACTGTGCAAACCAAGTCAATAAAAAAATCTATAATATAATATTGAAATGCAAAATGTGTGCACCTAAATCCCCTAAACTTTATCACAGTAAACGCTAATTTCTTTGAAACTGGCATTTAATACAAGCACTTTTGAAAAACTAAAGAGTAGTTCTAGAAGTAACTTCACCAATAAGAAGCCCTTTCTGAGAACTTACATTTATATGTATACTTATATATGTAATATGATTACTTGAGAAATAAGGTACCAAGAAACTGAGAGAAGGGCAGAATCTGGCCAATGTCAACATGAGAAATGTGGTAGCTACTTTGTTTCAATAAATATGTATCCTGAGGGAATACCAAGAGGAATAATGTCAAAATCATATCAGCTTAATGGAAATCAAAATACTGTACTTGTCTCCTGGGCCTTTGCCAATGTCTTTGCAAAACTTTTCTGACCATACCAGGGAAAAGAAAACTCCCACAGCATTGAGGTTTTCTCCTTAACAGCACTAGAACAATTTTAAAAATAATTTCCCTTGTGCCTTTCTGAATTCTTACAAGTATGTGGTAAAGAGCCTAGAGAATCAGAAAGTCCAGGGCATGCAGGATAAGAGGGATGAACATCATCTTAGTCAGGTGTCTGGGAAGCTGTGGGGGAAGAAAATGCTTACTAAAGCTTTCTGAGTTACTGTGCAGTCTGCTAATTCAGAGAACTGTTTTAGAAATTTGTTTGGTATTTTAATTTTATGCTTATAAATTACAAGCGTAGACTGTCAGGTACAAGATTAAATCCATTACCAAGAAAAATGTAATGCACAAGAGTTATGAAAGGTTATACATCACACACCTTCTGGTATATAAAAACATTTGAGTAAAACCACTAGAATTTATGAAAAAGCAAGTCATATCAAATTATGTGGAAGTCTTACAAAGCCTGGTGAGTGTAAAAAGGACAAGAAGCACAAGAGGAAACTGTTCAGGGAGGTTGTGTGTTCTATAAAGGTAGTACACTTAGGAACTGGTTGGACAGTCACATGTAGGGAATGGGTTAAACCTGCCCTTCCATGGTTAATAATAAAATCAGAGACAAATATTACTGATTATTTTGCCACAACATGTTCTGTGTTTGACATTTATTTGGATCAACATTACATTCTGGCAGAAATCCTCCCTGTAGGGACTTCCCCATGGGTTGCCCAGAGAACCTGCCAAGGAGCTGGTGTAGCTCAAGGGTGCAAGGACTGTGGAGACCTGAGAGATTTGTTACTTCACCTCCTGTGACTTTAGGCTAAAACAGGAAAGCAAATGCAAGATATATGCAGCTGAAGGTCACTTCACATTAGACAGGCAATGAGCAGTTAGGGAGCAATTCTACTTCAGCTTGTCTCAGGACTTTTTTCTTCAGGATTGTCTCTAAAGCAGACCTTATCATTTTGTAAGAAGCAAGGGGATGAGGGCAAGATTTTTCAAAGTACCTGTGTTATATAGTAAACAACTCTGAATACCTCTGATCCTACTACTGTGGAAAACACTAGCCTGCTGTCTTAATTTCACTTTTAGTATACAAATTATCTTCGATGAGCTCAGTAAGAGACATAAACTAATTCTGCATTTCAGGAGCAGAGAGCAGAGTCTTCCCTTTTCCTTGAAGGAATTCTGTGTTATCAGAATAAAGATAAGTTACTTCAAGAGTTATTGTCATCAGTAACACATGTTGGGCTATTAAATTGTACAGAGATGGTCTGTACTATAAGAAATCATTCAGTTACTTTTTTTTTCCCCCACCCAGGAGCAATTGTAAATTAAAATCAAAATAATTCTAAATCTTTACATTCCCTATTTGCCCCATACTTATTATCCAGTTACTGATTTCTTCTCCTTATTCTTTAAATAGAGTTGTCCTGAGGAACCTACCATCTGCCTGATGTAAACTGCCCCGTTAATTCTCACCTGGCTACAGCTGCAAAACAGATGAGAACAAGGAGAGGGAGTTAATGAATAAGACCTGGTAAAGATCTCAGCAAGGTGCCTCCTTTAATTCAGACCACGTTGGTAGTTGATATGACAACAAGATGTAACCACCTAATGATTTCAGTTCCTTAAGTATAATGAGTCCCATGTTCTTGGTATGCTTTAGACTGGACAACTTAAATTGCTGTTGTGTTTCATAACCCCTGTTGTATTTTGCAAAATTCCATTCACAGAATAAGGCTTCAACATGGAAACTGCTAGTTGTAATGGAAAAGCCAATTAGTAAGCTGTCAATAAATTAAAAAGTAAAAAAAAAAATCCTGACAACCAAATAACCAATAAAAGTCTGAAAAACTTTTGGATTTAAATATCCAGTAGCTTCTTGAAATTAATATGGTATAAAAAAAAGAAAAAAAAAAGTTATTTGCATTAACTGAATATATTGCAGAAATTCTAATTGTATATTTTACACATTCTTTTGTTGCCAAGAATAACATAAAATCTAACATAAAGATATTCATGTGGTATATGAAAGTTTTTACACAAGGAAAATGTCAAAATAGTTTGTTCAGACAAATGCACATCATTAACAAGAATAAGAACAGTGAATAAAGACTCACAATGAAGACAATCCTTGAAGTATGGAGTGTGAAATATGAAGCTGAAGCAGTTCTGAAATTTAAAAGAGTAGAAATTCAGCTTGTTCAGACTGAGTTATATGTGGTAATACACAGTCTTAAACAGGTTGTTAAAATTATCCTTTGGGAAAGATTAAGCATCCAAGTTAAAACTTTAAAAGTTATTCACCTGATTTTGGACTAGTATCTCTTTTAGAAATGACTGAGGGCTTAGATATGCAAGATTTTGAAGGGGGAAAGGTAGCATTCACATGTCAGTACCCTTATGCATATTCATACCATCTTTCGCTGTCAGTGAACCTTGCATTAGTGCTATATAAAGGCTATGCACAAACACATTTCCCTCAGGTTGGTTAAGCTGTGGTGACTTGTTGCATCTAAGGCATTAGTCACTGAATTACTATCAAGGTTAGGTGGCCCTAGTCAGTTTGGATATAGCAGTGACTTCCCCTTGTAACACTCATGATGAGGATGGAGAGAAGGGGGGACAAGAGCATGTTCTGTGAATGATTTCTAGCTGGCACAGGCTGGAACCATCATCATGGATCCAACTCTTCAACATTAGATGAGAAGAAGCAGTAAGAAACTCATGGGCTGAAAGGGAT